TGCAGTAGAAAAATAAATATTCTACTCACTATCGTGCGTTGGTGGCACGCACAGTGATAGAATGCTCGCCAACCATACAGGTGGTTCTGGGTTCGATCCCCAGCCAACGTACTCCTTTATCTTACTAAGCCAGTAATAATACTGTTAAAGAGGGAAGGTTGGGCATGAGGCTAGCGACCCCATGCTGTAAAGATAATTACAACTGCCAGTGAAACTTTAAGCCTCTAGCTTGAAGCGCTACGTTCCACTGGGAACCTAAAATGAATAAAAAAAGTACTTACTAATAAATAGTTGCCTAATGTCACAAATCTAACTTCTGTTTAAAGTCAGTTGATAGAAGAAAGTATTTTCGTTGCGTTTTTTCATCAGACAGTTAAATCATCAGGTGCATAATGAACTTCGAATAAGCCGTCGAGATTTTCAGTAGGTTTCGAATCCAGGTGCTGATACTAACAGTATATGTTAGTACTAATCAATTAATGTTATAACACGGGTGACCCATTTTGTCCTCTACTTTGTGGATCTCTTATACCAGTAATCAAAACAGTTGGAGTTAAATTTCCTACCTTTACAGAAATAGCAACACCCAAATAGAAGAAAAAAATCCTGCTGACAAGCTTTAAACTCAACAGAAACTGTGTCTATGGCATGGAATCTGGCTATCAGTAAAGAAAGAAGTTTATAATGTTTCGTTACTTGTTTGTGACAAATAGCATAATTAACACCCTGTCATATTTCACCTCTCGGTACAAATTCAAAAAGTTGCTAGTCCACTTGAACATTTATTGAACATTGAATGTTGACAATATTCAAACAGTTGGTGTATCTAGTATAATAATACTTAAATAGTCAAACAGTAATTATCTAATCGAGTTTGATGCCTGTCATCTTTGTAAGTGTACAAAACTGTATCATGAACTTTATTTACCGAAATATTTTAGGTCTAACTACAGTATTAACCAGTAAACAGATTTTAAATATGAAATGGTGCAATAACAATTCGTAGAAATTGTATGAAAGATCCAAGTTGCCTGAGAAATCATGTCATAGTGCAAGTTGTTAATATGAAGGAAGTGTACCACGAACATTATTGAGAAAAAAATGTTCGAAACACCCGTGAGAGAAGGCTGAGGTGTAGTTTCCTTCAGAGCCTAAATAAACAAATGTAATTCACACCCTTTGGGATGAAAATCACAGAATCGATTTAACCTGATCTTAACCTGATCCTTTGAGGGTCTAGATGTTTGATCTATAAACTGTTTTTACCAGCCACTATAAATAATAATGAAAGGATTTATCAGAGGTCAATTATTTCAAGATAATTCCATATCTAAGAGCCAAATCTTGGATTTCATGCTAAGTCAGTATTATAGAAACAACAAGAAATACAAATATTTCAAAAAAACGGAATGATACTGAGGTATGTTTAAGCGTGTCATTTGAAGTTATTCGAACGTATTCACTGATATTAGCACAAGAGTTTTCAGATATAGAAAGTAAGAGCCAAATTACTTCCAGTAAGTCATAAATTTTAACTGTTCAGCGGAAAATCAATAAACTTATCATTCGATCAAGGATAGTTAACAAAGATAGGTATGGAATTCTCAATTTTCAAAATTACCGGTCAGTCTGATAACAGGTTAGTTAACCGTTTAATCAGGCTGATGAATCATTCTTTCAACTTGATTTTATGAGCTTTTGCTGCATAGAAGAAATAAGATAAAATCATGCATAGTAGGTTTCTTATCATGCAAACAAACAGTTTTTATTTCAAATAAATTGCTGCAGTATGTAGACACTCCTAGTTAAACCGAAAGCTATCAAATCACATAGTGAAATATAAGTGTATTTATAACCAACACAAAAAAGAAAAAAACACTAAGCAGAATAAAAGATTGCTAGCTGTTGTTAGATATGAGACACAGACAAAAACGTACTTATGCGAAAATTGTTTCGCAATAGATAAATTTGCAGTTAGAACAAGCGTGACTTATTCACATTTAGAACAGATGAAATATTTTTAGTCAATTTGGTGTATTTGGTGTGTAAATATTCTCACTTGTAATGGCTCACTTTAGAACACTTTTTAATCATGGTAGATTTTCTAGAACGATGGAGGAAAACTACCGAAGGTTAATTCTGACAAACATTCCACAAACACTTCCTAACTGTATGCATGTATGCACGAGTTGTTAGGTCCACTTTTTTGTACAAGCTTACGTTCTATTCTGAAGACACTTGTGAATCTACGAAACATTACTACAACTTCAGAAAGGTGTTAAGCACAATTTTTTTCAGGACTCATGGGAAAAGTCAGTGAAAGAATGGCATGTGTACCTCCAGTTTTCAAGTATTGGTTTTGTAGGGATTTTGTTTGATTGCATGGAGGATTTAATCATGAGCTCATATCATTTAGAGAACCACTGGAAAACCTAGGAGTACTGAACAGTTGTTTCGTCCTAGTATGAGACTCTTCAGCAATACTTGAAAATTAATCTGTGCTCACTAGTGACTGGCCCTATTCAGGCAGTTAACCTGGGGTTCTAGTGGGAAGCCGTGACCAGTAGGGTACAGCAGGTTGAAGATGAGGCAGTAACTCATCGAAGAAGACATTGCGAAGTGGTCGCGCTATGTCGTGAATTGGCAGAAGTTAGAATTCAAGGACCATTGGGTCAGATCCCAGTGGCTCAATGGTCTACGAGCTGGCCTTGTAACCGGAAGGTCCTTGGTTCGAATCCCGGTGGGTGCGTACTGCTGAAGAGTCCCATACTAGGACGAAACAGCTGTCCAGTACTCCTAGGTTTTCCAGTGGTTCTCTAACTGATGTCAGCTCATGATTAAATCCTCCATACCTCCAATTTAACAAAAGTGAGGAAGGAGGAAAGATGTATATATATATATATATATATATATATATATACATATATACAAAGATACCATAACAGCTGACTGAATAGTACTTGTATATATGAATGAGGAGAAAATGAACATTATGCTAGTAATAGCATTAGGTGGTACAACTGAATGCTTATAAGTTAATGACTTGATAGATCTGACAATATTAGAATACTTCGATCTCCTCCTAACACTCAACGCAGAATAGATGTCTTTCACTTCAGACATGATAGACTTCAAAAGTCGCAAATTTCTAATACAACCTCAGAAAATCCATCCAATAGCTGGTTAGTATTCCAGGGTTTTTGTTTTCTGCACAATTAGTGGACCATATAACAGCAGAATTGGAAAATGAAGTTACACAGAGTGAGTTCAACTAACAATTAGCACGATTTTAGGCAACATGAACACTTAGAATAAACCTTAGAAAAGTAAGCAGTCAGTTGTTATTAACAATGTAAATTTGATACTATCCATCGTATACAAGAATCGTGCTTAGTCAGACGAATAATGATGAAAACATTTCATTTATAAATAAACTATTTTACACATCTAAAAACTTCTATTCATAGTGTATGCTAATCTTTACCTCTTAAATGCTCGTTTGGAAGACTATCTACATTGATACAGGCAATAAGGAAACGCTTTGATAACTGCATCATGCAGACTAAGAGTCTGGAAAGTAACTTTCAGGATCTGGCTTATAAAATCGATAATCTAAAAACCACATTTGTCTTTCTAGGTGTTCTAAGCTCCATTATCCATTAAACATTCTAATATTCGGACTCTATAAAATGAATTACTTAATAGAAAATCTAGTATATTTCACCTCAACAAATGGAGACAAAACGATTTCCGTGTAACCATTTCAATTATGAGTTTCTCACACTATTTTAATTTAACTAGCATTAAAATGGATGATAAGTGATACAGCTTGTTGGACAAGTTTGAAGGTAACTCTTATTATTTACAGGTAAAAAATAAACAAGGAAATATTGAAAAATTCACAAATATTTATTCAGATTGTTTTTCTAGCTTGACTGTGGAATGATAACAGTTTGTAAACCATTGAAAACCAGGGAGTACTGGACATCTGTTTCATCCTAGTTTGGGAATCATCGGTAGTAAGCAACCACTGCCAGGGTTCGAATCCAGGACCTTTCAGTTACAAGTCAGGCTCGTATACCATTCAGCCACTGATATCATCCCGTGATCAAACTTGAAAAAACAAATCAAATCCTTAGAAACCAGCTCTTGAAAATTACTTTGATGCCCTCTAGTGACTTGCCACAGGATGGAGTCTCCTGGAGTTCTAATGAGAAGTCGTCACCGGTGATATCCATCGAACCAAGTGAGAGGATGGATTTTCCGCCGACGACATTGTTTGGTGGTCGCGCTAAAATCACGAATTGGTAGGAATCGCAATTCATGGGCCATCGAATCTGGTGCTAGTGGCTGAATGGTATACGAACTTGCCCTGCAACCAGAAGGTTATGGGTTCGAACCCTGGCGGTGGTTGCGTACTGCCGATGATTTCCAAACACAGGTGAAACAACTCTTTCCAGTAATCCCTCGTTTTCAATGGTTTTCTAACTGATAAACCCATGGTCAAACTAGAGAAACAAATCTAATCCTAACCATACAACTCTTGAAAATATTTAGACTGTGTTTAATTCTATACATATCTGCAATGAAAAGAGCCAACTCTAAGTTTTTCAGAAAGTAAACTGCAATCAGAGTACATCAATGTAACATAGTCTGACTATCAATTCCTTCCTAAGTCAATAATCAGAGCTACTTTTAAGTTACCAAGAAAATGTCATATTTGAGTATTTAGCTCTAGAAAAATACCTAGGTGTATGAAATGTATTCATAAAAGAGCATTAGATTCTCAGTTGATATACTAAAACCGACTAGCTTGCTTCCGATTTTTATTAGAGACATTATTTGAAAGGGTTGAATGCCGAAACCACTCTAGCAATTAAGTAGCAGAATCAACAAAGCCAATATTCAGTAAACATAATTATTAAAAAAAAAATAAAGCAAAACAAAACAAAAATAGTCAGATCTCAAGTGAGCAAAAAGAATTCTGACGAGATACTTACTCTTTTCTGTGTGATGAAGAAGCTCTTCGTGGTGCCTCAAATGATTTTTGTTGTCTTGATAAATAATATTTAATATCCTTTTCAATCGCTTTCCTACAACCTGAACACTGAATAAAATTCAAATCCATTTGAAGGTAGTCTGTATATGATCTTGCATACTTCTGATTTGTATAATATGGGTGTCGTTGATGTTCAGGTGGAGGGTATACTGGGTAATGACTAGAATCATTATAATGTTGTGGTGTATTATCATCATTTATTTCACCTAGTGTAGGATCTAAGTATTGTTGAACAAATGGCTGAGAATACTTTGATCTTTCTTTTTCTGTAATTTGAGGTTCATCGTTAGATGATGATTGCAGTAGTAGATGGGATTGTTGTTGTGATACAGTCGGTTGATTTACACGTCTAGATGATGATGAAGAACAACGATGGTGGGATTGCGTCTTCTGTGATCGAGCCTTGTTTGAAGGCACTTTTAAATTTAAATTCTCCACAGGTATGGGTTTAGCACTTATCTCGCTATGCATACCAGATGTTGAACTCAAAACAGTCGTTGATGGTTTTGATATGGAACGACTGGAAGTAATTGGTTCTTTACCTGGATCGATAAAAGAATAATCGAAGAAATGAACTAAATACAGACGTAAATGAATATAAACTTCACGTATTTTACTTTATTCCTTTGCGTCCCAAGTGGAACAAAGGGCTTCAAGCTAGAGGCTTGAAGTTTCGGTAGCGGTGGTGTTTATTTTTACAAGATGTGGTTGCTAGCCTCATTTCTGACCTTTCTTCTTTACCAGTCTATTTACTGGCTTATAGAGGTAAAGGAGTGTTCTGACCGGGGATCGAACCCTGGCCCATATGTGTGATTGGCAAGCATTCTACCACCGTGCCACTGACTTAACCTAGCAAGTTCATGTATAAATAATTGATAAACATCCCTCATTATTGAGAAACTGACTGGATACAAGGATAGGATTACAGTCATCATATCGTTCAAGTAGTTCACCTAATTGACGCTGTTTTGCGTATGACTCCATTTGTTTGTTGTGTACTAAAGTAAGTTACTATTAAGAAGCATTCTTGACAGTTTCATTCAGTTTGCGGTTAACAAATCAAAGAAGAGAGTTCTTTTCATCTTACCAATTTAGTCTGAAACGGTATGCCCCAGTCAGACGGATAGACACACACTGCGAAGACCGTTGGGTGGCATCACGCGCCAGGACATCGCTACAGTGAGACTCGGATAGAAGACGAGGAATTGAGTTTCTGAGCGCGACATAAAAGACATAATGTGAGGACGATATGAAAACTAACTGCACTGCAAAACGGCAATGAGCTATTATAGCCCTCTGTTCCACTCAGTACTCAAGGGAATAATAATAAAATGATCCTAGGCGATGGTGTTGAACGAAATAGGAATAATTTTATCTGTCCGTTCGTAATTTTTGTCTTCCTACAGTACGATCGGTGGGTATATAGGTTTGGAAGACAAAAATTCCAGACTGGTAGTAATTAGCTCATTATAACGTTACATTACCAACCAACGTAAATTAAACTTTACAATGAACAACTTTCTTTCCATTAGAGTGAGTGATTGTCGTTTTTGACAAGGAGTAATAACAACTACGCGGCAGTTTAAATTACCACAATTAACATTGGAATATCAAAAAGTCGGCTAACAAAATGTTATTCTAAAATGGAAATAATTTTATCAGAAGTTATAAAATGACTTCAGACAAAGTAGTTAGTTGTATTTTGAATTACCAGCTGGAAAGAAGATTAGTTAGGCTACTATTGTAGTAAGAGCAGGCTGCTAGCCAACTGGTAGACATTAATTTACCTCAATGTCCAGGTCACTAATATTGGCCGTGGGAAAATATAAACAAGGCTGATTCAACAACCAATCACAGCAGAATTAACGTAGGCAAATAAGATTCGCAGATAGACGGCTTAACTTTCCGATAAACCCAAAACAACCAAACAGAAGACTGCGTTTGTCTGCTTGAAGAAGCTGTAATAATGTACATGAAATATATATAAATACGTGCTAATTTCCGTAATAAAACGATCTGTTGCCTGGCTCTTGTCTTCTGTTGTTACACTATCGTAAATTTCAACGCATCACAAATCGCCCACAGTAGCTGCTTCTGATTATGGAGGGAAATGACTGGCAATTCTGTGTGCACTTCAGAATGAAACGTGGAAGTAGTACGAACTGATGAGTAATCTTTTCAGAAATTTTTTCTGAAGGTAATACATCACGTTAATTGTTATTTCCCTCCTGCTTCATACATTTTGGGTTAGAATTTGATTAAATCGAATGCAAAAGAGGTTATTTTAATAGCCCGGAAAAGTGATGAAATGGAAAATCTGCGTAATTTCAGTAAGCGAATAAATTAAAAACTCAATTCTTCGACAATAAATGACAAAGTTGTAGAATAAATACAAACTAAACACTCCTGTTGTGAATGTAGTAACTCTTGGATGTCGAGCTCTTCTAACACTTTGATGAGACGAATAAGAAAGTGTTCAAATTTCATCATAAACACTGAACTCAGCGAGATTGAAATGAGTAATTACAACGTTTCCTGTGTTCGGCAATCTGCTCCAAAATTCTTCAGGGAAATTAATCGAAATGAACATAACAGACGTTTATATATAAAAGGAATATCTCTTGTTTTTGAAAACTTTGTCCAATCATGATTCATATAACAAGTATCAACAAGTATAATGAACAAAATTGCATGAACTGTGATCAAAATTTGACCTCGGATGTAAAACCTCTGTTCTGTGAATTTGGATTAATTTCTTTGAAGAAGCTCGGAGCAGATTGTCGAACGAAACGTTGGAATTACTCATTTTAAACTCGCTGAGATTTTACAAATATAATTTTTTACAAATGTCTACTTCTCACTCGGCGCTCAAATATTTTAGAACTATTCTGTCAAATCTTGACTACAGTTAATTTGATTCATTTTGCAGTCGAATTAAATTAACAAAGAAACTATGTAATTGGCACAATCATCGCGTTTTCACTCTCCGTTGTCTGCAACAAAATGCATATCCTAAATCCGTAGCTGTCAAGTCACTTGATAACTCCAGTAGGTCGAATAAAGCAGCTCAATATTCAGAAAGAAGACAAAGCAATAAGTTCGACAGGGTGCTTAAGCTAAACTCTAATCCTAAACACCAGAATTTTGAAAATACGTCTGATCATAAAATTCTAGACACTAGCAGTTTGAACAGACATGAAGGTGTGATGTTAGCTGATGCATAGTAAATCCCGATTAATAAATAAAAGTGGATATGTATCACTAATTAATAATACTTGGCCAAATTCCTGACTGTCTATATCTTCTTATGGATACGTTTATAAATGTTTTACAACTGTTTACCCACACACGCATGCACACTGTGTTTAAAGTGTTTAACAAATGTAGACCAATATTTGTAAGTCCGAGGTCAAATTTTGATCACAGTTCATACAATTTCGTTCATTATACTTGTTGATATTTGTTATATGAATCATGACTGAACAAAGTTTTCAAAAACAAGAGATGTTCCTTTTATATTTAAACGCCTGTTATGTTAATTTCGATTAATTTCCCTGAAGAATTTCGGACCAGATTGCCGAACACAGGAAACGTTGTAATTACTCATTTCATTCTCGCTGAGATTTTACAAATATAGTTTTTTACAAATGTCTACTTTTCTAATTCTTGTTGGCATATATTTAAATCATTTTCTTTAAGGAATGTAAAAAAATACTGAGAAAATTTGAAAGCGTCAGAAATAGGTAAGAAAATGAATTAAGAACATCTTAGATTATTTGAAGTTTTTAAATAGCTATAACTATTTCAAGCTAAGTCTTTATTTTTTGTTTTACTGTCAAACAAAATGATGCCAAGAACGATATCTGAACAACTACTGACGACAACAAGAAAATCATTGGAGACAGACTTATCAGTGTATTTTACAATTCACACAAAAGCTAAAAAGCAAAGATATTGTTAAGGATAGACTGCACCATTCACTTTTGCCACTTTTTAGTTTTCATCAGAGTTCGTAAGTGAATCTTTGTCTACAGTGTTATAAGGTTGACATATCGCCTACTTCAATTCATCATTTGGAGTATATAACTCGTGAGAAAAAAGAAGTATGCCTGACAGTGAATAATGCTCAGATTTTGCAATCTTTTGGTACACTTTCTGAAGTCATATCCCACATACATTTTTGTATCAGATCTCACTTTTATCTGATTCTTGTACTTGGGGTAGGATAAAAGTTGACTTCATGTCATATGTCAGGCAGATAGTTTTGATGTTGATAGGCAAAAAAAAGAAATATATGAAGTAGATTGATGAAGCTTTGAAAAATAGTGGCTAATTTTTAAATTATTTGTGGATGGTTTTCAAACTGTAAGATGAGATGTTGAAATCAACTTGATTTCCGTATTTGTTCTACTGTTTAGTTTTTTCGATGAGAGAGAGAGAGCTTATGTTGAGAGATATCAGATTATGCGGAATTGCTCTTCACTGTGTGTATCATTCTGAAATGTCAATAGAATTCGCTTCAGTACCATTGGTATCCAAATGTTTACATCATTCAAAACTACACTGAAATTAGCTGAGTCAAATGAAGGTGATAGAGGTACCTTTAATTTCAAGTGTCAGATAAATTTTCCATGGACGATGGACGAATAAATATTATCATCATATATTGTATTTTAGTTGATAATAGATAAGTGATTTTATTGTAACCAGTATTTATGACGATTATCGAGCTGAACTCAGCTAAGCAGTACACCACATCTCTTTTGTACGCCGACATCACTGATGTATATTTTACTGAAGAGTATGGGACCAGGAGCTAAGTGTAATTGTTTATGTTTCATACAAATGTAAATCTGGTCATCTGTCTTCTTTCAGATGTTGCATTATTATTATTACTGCTCTTCTGAAAAGACAGGGCTTAATAACACATTCACTAACTCTATTTTGTCCTTTCTTCTTCAGCTTGGCCCACGATTGCCAACAATCTATCACCTCCTCCTGTCCACACGATCTCTTCCATGTCAGCCTCACACCAACAATCCACTCGTCGTTTACCAATGGAATTCCACTTGATTGATGGCCTGCACCGCGCTAGAATGCCATTCAACGGTTTCCTCAGTGGCTCATGCCGATCAATCTCCATTTTCTCCCAATTTTTTATTTAAAAAAATTTTTTGATTTTTTGATTACAGCTTAATTCCACACCATATTTTTGGTACAAGTATGGAATTTTCAGCATGGATATCGGTAGCCCAAATTTTGCAGGCCGACCATAGATATCAGGTGTTGTTGAGTAAATGGCTCTTGGTTGGTTTGTTACCAGCCAGAGTTTCTCGTTGCCAATTTCTTTCTTGCCTGCTAGCCGACCATTTGATCTTCGGTATGGAGTCAGACAAGCAGCTGTTGATAAACGTCTGCAGCTGGCTGTTGGAAATCCCTTACGTGACACGCTGGTGAAGTTTTCCACCCGCATAGAAAGACTGACTGACTGCACATTGGCGTTGAAAATCTGAATCTTGTTCCCAATGCCTCTGAGTGCAGAAGATTTCCAAACTGTTTTCAGGTCGATGAAGGTGTATCTTGTGTTTCCGATTCTGACTGGCTGCTTTTGACATCTTCATCCGTTCCGTCCGTCTTTGGTTGAAACTTTGCTTCCGAGTTAAGTGAAGTAAGTAACCTTTGTCAAATCTCTCCAGTTGATGGTGATTGTTACTGGTTGTTGTTGGTGGTGTAGGATGGTTAGCTTCATCACCTCTGTCTTCTCTATGTTTCCATCAAGTCATGTTTACTCTGCCAGCTTCTTCAGCCAGTTTGTTGGTTTTCGCCTGCAATTCTTCGAGTTTGTGTGACATTAAACATAAACCATCCACACACGATATCCAGATCTCCTAAAGTCTTCTTATCGGTGGTTCAGTGTACTCCTGTATTCTCACCCGTCTGGCAGAGTCTAACGCATAATCCAGTCCACCACAATTAAGAATATCATGAGTGATTATAGGCAGCCAGCTTGTCATACTCCTGTACTCCCTTAGAACGCCTCAGTGAGATTTCCGTGGTGGATCAACTGACACGTGCCACTGTCACTTAGCGAGCTGTTGAATGAAGTTGATAAAGACTTGGGTACTGCACACCATAGTGTTTAAGCAGTTTCCAAATTACTTCTCGGTCAACGCTGAGTTCTTGAAGGCCGCTTCGAAGTCTATGAAGTTGAAGTAGAGGTTTGACACCATTCTGTTCTTTTTTCGATGACTATGCGTAGAGTCGCAATTTGATCAGTACATGATTTGCCTTTCCTGAATCCACCTTGTTTTAGATATTGCATACTTGTCTAATTCTTTACTTCAGAGTATTTTTGACTGCTTTCTTCATTGCTAACGTTTATAAATAAACGTTGATATGATGCGATTTTACATATCTTACAAAATAATAAATAAGTGATAGACAAGGGGCATATGTATTAGGCTGAAAGATCACTAAAGGTACTCCATTTTTAGCCTATTTAGTTTCTAGAATTAGCCACATTTTATCATCAAGTCGGGAAACAGGCCTTTATGAAGCATTCTGAGGTGATATAAAATGGTATCATACAGTATTCTAAAATCTCTGAATACGTTTTGTTCTTGCTAGTAGGCATATCTACAAGTTCAAGGTAACTAATACGCCTTCAGATAATGAAAACTGTAGCATTCAGTTCTGCAATGAAACAAGTTACTAGTTTAAATCATGTGAAAGTATACCAAGATAACTATTCCTTCAGCCTAATGACTAATTATCAGATAACATCATATTGGTCACTGTTTATAGAAAGTCCAGTGAACTAAACACAACCCCAGTCGTTGCGTCTTTAATTGTAGCACTTGCTAACGCAGGTAGAGGTTTTTAGGGTGATACGAATTTTTATTTCAACATTATAGACAGCTTTTGCTAAACACTACCAATGAAGACAAAATCCTAGTAAAAGGCGTTTTGTAGACTCCTTCCAACCACACTACATTACTTATGTTCCTTAAGAAAAAGCAGACAAACTTTAGAAACTAAAAGAAGAGTAGTCAAATGCCTTATAAATAAAATTTCATCATCTTTTGTGATTCAAATAATGGGAAATATTTGATTTTCTCAGGTGAATTATTGTATATACACAATAAATAGGCTAACAGCCATTTCTAGAGAAACAGTGATTGCATCACTTAAAACTGAATGATTAAATCTAATACTTAATAAATAACTTCAGTTAACATCTGGCATAACAATCTGACGATAAAGAGTAAGATATCATATAAGATTCAGGTATTACCCGTGGGGATTGTAGTAATACAATGACCAGGTTGGTAGTTAGTCTTTCTGATTCAGATGGCACAGTTGAGGACTGGAGATTCGTACGCTACTAGTTGAAATAATTCCGGCAGTCAGGCTTCCATTTGCACCTTTAGCCATCAACCTTAATATCAATACAAGAGTGTACCAGATGGCGGCACCGTCAAATAGTTATTCATTGTATTTTGACGAAACGAGACTTAATTTTAGAATGTAAATGAATGGGGCAAGTTAACTTGGTCGATTTCCTATCCCCAATAGGATCACTTTATATTGAGTCTGTCAAATTCAAGACTTATTATTATATTGTTATTATTTAGATTCTTTCCGTTTTACTTCCAAAATATCAATGACTACTTACCAGTATTTTTCTCTGACTGATTACCGGCAACAATCCATGACATATCCATAGCTTGAGCACCACTTTTAGAATCATAAATTGTCTTTGACTTTTGTACAGACTGTTTTATTTCGTCACAGTAATGTCCTGAGCTGTATACTTTGATATTATTATTGTTGGCATTTTTATTATTTATGTTACTATTAAATACTGGTGTACGTCCAACGATAGGTTGACCGTCAGAATAATTATTCGATACTGAATTTGAACTGAAACTATTTGATATAGAATCAAATGATCTACTGAAATTGCTTGTTGCAACAGCCTTGAATAAAAAAATATATATTATATAAATAAGACACAGTTGTATACTTGAAAAAACGATATTTCGCAGTACGTTTCTATGCTTTAATTAATTTAAAAAAACAGGGTTACTTTCTTTACATCTTACTTCTGAAAATTCACAATTTCAACCAACTATGTAGTGATCGCTCCTAGTTTTAAGATATTTTCTAATAACTCTAGTATGAATACTGCTTTGCTCATATTGTTAGAATAGCTCGTGACTTACCCACCTTACTGGTAAAATGTCAAGCCATACTGATTTGAATCTCGGAGAGAATGTAGATGTCAAGTATTGGTTTTGTAGGGATTTTGTTTGATTGCATGGAGGATTTCATCATGAGCTGACATCAGTTAGAGAACCACTGGAAAACCTGGGAGTACTGGATAGCTGTTTCCTCAACCTAGTTTAAGACTCTTAAGCAGTAAGCATCCACCGTCAGGTTTCGAACCAAAGACATTCTGGTTACAAGACGAACTCGTAGACCATCGAGGCACCGGGACCCGATCCAATGGTCCTTGAATTCTAACCAGAAGGTCCTTGGTTCGAACCCCAGTGGGTGCGTACTGATGAAGAGTCCCAAACCAGAATGTAGATTCTTTCAAGTTTGTATGTATTTCTAGGCTATGATTCCGAACAAATATATTGTTAATAGATTTCCACTGACTGGCAATAATTATCTAATACCTAGATGAAATGACCATAATATCTGTGCTCCAGGAGTAATGGTATAAATGAATTGTTCTTATTTCCCAGCTGGTTATAGATGACAGAGATAACAGATCGTTCCAGAAATACGCTTGAGAGGATAGTGAATCCAAATATATCTATGTGATTTATTATTATTATTGTATCCTTTAGTTCCTAGAGGAACATAGGGCTTCAGCTGCTCACCTCCATTGCCTTCTGTTTTCTGACAACTTTTCCACCCCGCTCCAGGTCTGTCCACATGCTTTCACCTCCTCCTCGCATGACCTCCTCCAAGTCACCCTTGCACTGAGGACCAACTCGCCGCCTCTCTTTCGGGTTCCACTCGAGGGCTTGTCTAGTGATGTCACTTAATGGTTTCCTCAGAGTATGGCCAATCCAATCCATCTCCGTTTCTTCCTGCATATTTGTTTCACAATCGGTTCCTGATTGGTTCGCTCCCAGAGATCGCTGTTGCTGATCTTTTCTGGCCGGCCATCTGATCTTGAGTATTGAGCAAAGAGAGCTGTTAGTGAAGGTCTGAAGTTTGTTTGAGATGCTCTTTATGACTCGCCAAGTATCTGATCCGTATAGTAGCACTGACTTTACATTGGAGTTGAAAATCCGGATCTTATTTTTCATGCTTAGGAGTGCTTTTGATCTCCACACAGACTTAAGGTGAGTAATGAAAGCTTGTCCTGCTTTTCCGATTCTGGCTTTGATATCCTCGTCAGTTCCGCCTGTAGTTGAAACGATGCTTCCTAGGTAGGTGAAGGAGGTTGTTTCTTTCAGGTTCCTCCCATTTATGCTGACTGTCGTCCGTTGTTGTTGTTGCTGTTGGTGTTGGCCAGGAATCTTAATCACCTCTGTTTTATCTATGTTCACCTGAAGTCCTATCTTTGATGCCTCTATCTCCAACTTGTTGCTTTTCACTTGCATGTCTTCCGATTTGTGGGAAATCATACATATATCATCATCGGCGAAGTCCAGATCTTCCAAGTCTTTTGTGTGAGTCCATTTTATGCCCGTTCCCTCGTTGGTTGCCGTTGTCTATCGCATTATCCAATCTACTGCAATCAGGAAGATCATTGTGATTTAAGAATACTTTAATCTTCAATTTTAATTTATTCTTTATTGTTTGAATAGAACATAGGTCTTCAAACTTCAGCTTTAGAGTTTCTTTAACAGTGGTGTCTTTTTTACAGAGTGAGGTTGCTAGCCTCTCAGCTGACCTCCCTTCTTTACCAGGTTTACTACTGACTAACTGAAGTTTAGGAGTGTATCAGCCGGGAATCAAACCATGGGCCGTATAAGGCGTGTCCGCCAAGCAATCTAATCCTGGATCACCTATGCAACGATTTAAAAATGTTTCATATGTAAACACTTCACTATATTAGATGGATGGAGGCAGGAAGCCTTCGATCTAGGTTTAATGTTAGTTAGCATTCACAAGTCACCAAGGTGTACCTGCAAACTCGAGGGAACATAAGTTCCCAATGCAGCAGTCATAAACCTTACCACTGGCCTCTTTAGGCTCGTGACTGACCTCCTATATGACAGTAATGCACATTTCTTTTGATTGAACACTAGTCAGTAACTAGTGTAATGTTTCGTCTGCAAAGCGTGTCTGCGACTAGGTCAGACTGGGCTTCCTGCAAAATGCCTCCAACCATCTAATACCAACAGATTATAGTCCACCGCGATGATCAGCTACCTAGAATGGTGGCCACATTGCAAACGTGACTGATAGGATTCAGTTTGCATCAAACGAAGGACTAGATACACACATGCGTCCTCGAGCTAGAGCAAAACGTTTACTCAGGAGCTCATGCAGGCGAAGACTTAGACCAGAAACTACGCCATTCCTTCGGAGAATATGTACAACAAGTCACTGAGAAAGAATGCAACAAGACTAAAGCAGGTCTGTTCAAAAGCCTAAAGCCTACAATTAATACCGAATCTCCGTTTCCAAGCAATCCAGAAAAGTACATATTCAATCTTTCAGACATCACACTGTCTACTACCCAACTAGGGACACTATCTCCAGGTCCAAAATTCTGCGTAAAACCACCAAATATTGACAATCTACAATGCCAGGTTCAGTTCAAAAATGTAATAAACCAAACTTACGATCTCACACCCACATCAGATCAAAGCATACAACAATTCAAAGCATCAATCTTCAACCGCTGTCACAAGTTTATAAATACCAAACCCAATGGAAGGTCCATTTTTAACGAAGAGGCATTATAGGCAGCTAAAAGAACTTATGAAAAATGAAGAGATTATAATATTACGTCCTGGTAAAGGCAGAGGAATCGTAATCATGAATCGCAAGGACTATATCAGTAAAATGCTGACTATACTATCCGATGAATTCAAATTCACAAAACCAATTAACGAGAAAAACATGACCGAACAGAGTGAACAAAAACTAACGGACACATTCCGTAGGCTAAAGACTGAATCTTTCATCAACAATGAAACGTTCGAATCCCTAAGACCATCTTGCTCAAATATACTACGACTTTACGGACTCCCAAAAGTACACAAGAAGGATATCCCTCTTCGAACTATCCTTGACATAACCGATTCGCCTTATTACCGCACAGCCCAATGGTTAGCGGACCTCCTAGGCCAAAAAGAGTCTCTTCGCTGAACGTTTTCTCTTTTTCGTATGACTCAATGGGATTTTCAAGCTACAAACACATTACACTAGTTAGTGACTAGTGTTTCATCAAAACAAAAAACTTTGGTTTTGAAAATGAAGAAAAATTGTTTTTGCTAACTATTTCTTGATATTATTCGAAGAAGTGCACGGAGTTTTCACAGTCTACCACTTTTACATTTCTTAGAATTGTCTAATAAATTTACTGTAAGCATTCATGCCTAATTTATATACTCACTGATATGGGACAGAAAGATCTCAATGTACAACGTTTTTCCCCTAAAACTTACAAATGGTTCAATAATAAAAATAATGATAATAATTTCTCTGTCGATTCTTTTCTAATTTCAACGGACACATAAGAAATCTAATATCAGTAAATGAATAATCCTTTGTATAAATTAATGCGCATGTCGGATAAAAAGGCGATATAGACAAACATATATGCGCAAAAGTATGTTTAAATAGGTAATAAAAGCGATTTGACTTGATGATAATTAATTTTTATGATTACTATTCATTCTTTATTATTCTATGCAGTCTACAGCTAGTAGACGTATACAATCGGATTGTGGAATATTCACATAAAAAGCTTTGATCCTTCTTTATTTTTTTTCAGCGCTATTCATCTTATTATTAATATTGTTATTGCTATTATTATTAATGAAGTATGCTCATTCGCCTCATTTTACTTATTAATGTTGTCTTATTTATTTGTCTTTTTTGCTCATTTCGTATTATTATTATTATTACTTTATCCTATCAGCATTTCTTATTCTTTTCACCCCTTTAATCAGAATACCTCACTATCCATAAAACTAATTAGATTATACGCTTAGCTTTCAATATTAGTTATCTTAGCAGGCAAAATGAAAATATAGAGCGAAGCACATATTTGTTTGTTTTCTCTTATCTTATTGACGAACTGGTTGATGCTGCTGCTGATGATGATGGCGATGATGGCAAGGAGTAGGATGACGAGGATTATCATTATTATTATTAATAATAATATTACTATCGTTATTATTCCTTGTATTATTATCCATTTGTCAAAAGCAATCATGTTATATGTTCTACTTAAAGTAACTTTTGTAACAAGAGAAATAACAGTGATACACTCGGTTTATCAGTTACTCATCAACAGTAAGTAGCAAGTGTTTACTTAAGGAAACAGCATTGCCAATGAAAATGAATAACATACAATAGGAAACATGAAACGAAGGATCGTAGCATTGAGAAATATCATTTTCAGATAGAAGGAGGCAGTAAAATACTTCACTTCAAAGCATATATATATCTTTCAGCTTATAGTTAATTATTATAAAGGCTGGAAGAAAAAGTAAACTAAAACTGTGTGATATACACAATTCTAACCACTACACTGTGGAATATTTTTATATATATAATGGGATAAGTCCTTATAAAACTTGTTGTATCAGTGAGGCCCCTATTATTTTTTGAAGTTATGTTCAGAAATCTGATGTCAGATGAAATTTATGAACAGTTAGCTTTGTAACCACATTTTTTTGTGAATAAACGACGGATACTGGGGTCTGAGAAGATGTACAGACACGTCACATGATCTGTTCATCAGGCTTCAACAAAATAAACAGTTATTGGCTCTAGTGTATTGTTGCAAGGTGTTGAGAAAAATCCTGTCGTATGAAAACAAACCTATATCGGCGGGATCAGCCAACAGATGAATTCTGAAAAAAAAACGTTTCAATGAACTAAACCTAAAACTGGAACTCTAAGATTTCTTCATTGTCTTAAGTTACAGAAATAAGTGAAGCCCAGTTGAGATTGTCAGTGTTCCACCAATCACTGGCTATTTACCAATAATGTAGCATTTCAGGGATCTCGATTTTTTTAACTCCTTGTTGTCATGAAGAGTATTTTAGTAAATCACTTTTTTTTTATTTACAGCTTGATTCCATACTGTATTTTTGGTACAAGTATGGAATTTTCAGCATGGATATCGGTAGCCCAAATTTTGCCGGCCGACCATATATATCAGGTATGCGCCGGTGTGGGCTCGAACCCCGGACCATGTGCATGGTCGGCGAGAGTCCTAACCACTGTGCCACCGACGCACTTTTAATTATGAAGATTCCAGTTGTTCATGGTGTGCCACAAGTGTTTATCAACCTCATTAAATCACTTGCTGTTTGACAATGCCACATGTTAGGTGATGTATAATGGAAAATTCAGAGAGGTGTTTGAAAAGGAGACAAGTGTAAAATAAAACTGCCTATTATTACCGATGACATTCTTGAGTGTGGTGGACTGAATTATGCGGAAGACCTTACACAGGGAGTGAGAAGACAGAAACACACTGACTTCCGATAAGAAGACTGTAGAAGATTTGGATTTCGCGTGTGGATGGCTTATGTTCAGTGTCACATAAACTCGAAGACTTACAGGCGAAAACCAACAAACTGGCTGAAGAGGTTGGCAGCGAAGGGAGACAAGACTTTAGGTGAACATAGAAAAGACGGAGGTGATGAAGATAACCATCAAACAGCAACAGCAACAATAACCGGTAGCAATCATCACCAATAGGAGTGATTTGAATGATGTGACTTCCTTCACTTATCTAGGAAGCACGGTTTCAACCACAGGCAGTTGGAACGGTCGAAGATGTCAAATGCAGGTAGAATTGGAAAGGCGAGAAAGGTCTTCATCGCCCTGAAACAAGTTTGGAAAAGATTCGGATTTTCAATGTCAATGTGAAGTTAGTCAGTCCTTCTATATGGATCAAAAACTCGCACTGCGTGTCACGAAAAGGATTCCCAACAGGTCACTGCAGAATTTTATCACAACTACCTTCACAGGCTAACTCCATACTGAAGATCAAATAACCGGTCAACCATCCAGAAAGAATTAGCAACAAGAAGCTCTGGCTGGGCACAAACCAACCAAGAACCGATTGCTCAAAAAATATGTAGGAGAAAATGAAGATGGGTCGGGTATATGTTGAGGAGATCGTCAAGTGACATCACACTCAATGCAGGACATCGTTCGGATGGAATCCCAACAGGAAACGGTGAGGGGGTAATCGCTACGAGAGTGACGTGGAGGAGATCGTGTGAAGAGGAGATGACAGACTATGAGCAATCGTGGACCAAAGTGAAGAGGACAGCACGAAATAGGACTAAGTGGAGGTGCGCTGTTGAAGCCCTATGCTACACTTGGAACCTAAGAGAACAGTAATAATAAAATAACTGTCTCTTGTGAAAATATCTTAATCATTACCTAATGTGTTTAAAAAAAAATGCTTTTCCTACTGGCGTTCAATTAACCAAAATTATTTTTGTGGGTGTAGTTAATCAACTAATGATTTCTTGGCATAAAGATAAGTACATTTCGACGAAAAAAGAATTGTTCCTTCCAAATGTATGCTAATGATATGAATGGCGACAGTAGAGAACAAGACGTTTTCTATGGAAATTCTTGATGGATAAATTGAAAACTGAGGTTTGACTGAGTGTTCATCTATAAATGTGATTCACTCGTTTATAATTTCAAGCCTAACTCATCCCTTTTCTGGTCTATACGTTTGAGTATCCTAGGTATTTTTTAAAGATATTAATTACGTTAGTTCTTATTGGTAGATTTCATAGTGACATTGAAACAGCTGTCACTGACATTTCACAAAATCACTAAGTGGTTAGTTCAGCTAATACTGGAGTACACTTTATCCAAAACTAGACGTTATTCATATTCACAAAATAAAAATAACATCCAGTCAATGGGAAAGTTAGTGAGAATTGGAAAATGAAGATAGATTTAACAGTAATATAGTCGAAAATTCCCTCATTTCACTACTCACCTTTACAAGTGTACATTTTCTCGATAGAGGTGGTTGATTAAGGCATTCTGTTTGTTTATTAATTATTTCACCGGTCATTTTGTTAGCTGCTTGTTCATTCTGCACAATACTAATACCACCACATGTCACAATAGCACTAGTAGGAATCGATAAAGAGTTATTAGTTGTTGAGGAGAAATTTGATTTCCGTGCTATATGCAATATCACTTTATCAGGGAAATGCTGTAACATACGCATAGCCTGTGTAAGTGTATGACCATTATGCAATGTGATACCATTTATAGCTAGTATACGATCCCCAGGTTGAATTAAACCACATTCACCCCCAGGATCACCAGGATTGATTGAATCAATTAAAACTGGGATATCTGGTGCATCATCAGTGCCGCATATTGTAATACCCCAAGGGCAATCAGGTGATTTTCGTCTTAATATCACTTGTACAACATTCATATCAGGTTCTACAAAAGAAGGCAAAAACAAATAAAATCAAATTCATTCATCTTAGAGATTTATTGGATTGTACGATTAACAGAGCTTCAGGAAAGATAACTCAAAATGATGTAATTAGATTCAATTTTATTCAAAACAAAGTTTTGTTGATAAACTAATAGATTCTCTGAATATGATAAAGTATTCGCTCGAAAGCCTAAGGTCTTTTAGTTACTTGGAACAAGTTAATCAATCATTCCGAAGAGCATATATTTGAGACACTTCATCCTTGGAGACTTCTCAAATCATATATAGAAATTCAAATTTAAGTAGTTAATCTCACACACACACACACACTCTGATGTAACTCTGCAAATTAGTAGAAATTTACATACTGTTTTTTGAGATATCCGGAAAACACTCAGAATTTAACAATACGCGTATAATTAGTTGGAGGGTTTGATCATGAGCTGACATTGGTTAGAAAACAAGCTTGGAGTAGTGGGAAGCTATTTCGTCCCAGGTTGGGTATCTTCATCAGTACGCACCTACTGCCAGAGTTAAAACACAGGACCTTCTGAATACAAAGCCAGCAAACTCGTAGACCATTAAGCCATTGGGATCCAATCCAATGATCATTTCATTACATTTAACTTCTGCCTATTCACGACAAAGAGCGATCACTTCGCAATGTCTTCATCGATGAGTATTTGTCCTCACCTCCCACCTGCTGTAACTTACTGATCACGGCTTCCCACTAGAAATCCAGATAACTGCCTAAATAGGGCCAGTCGCTAGTGAGCATCCGATGAATTTTCAGGTATTGGTTTTTTGTAGGGATTTTGTTTGATTCGTCGGAGGATTTCATCACGTGTATATATGACTAAATCATGATACTTATTGATCACTGTGGAAAGGTTAATCGACTAGTTTCAATGAGCAACAGAAGCTTGACAGATAAGCAGGTAAACTTTGATGATATCAGGCTACCTAAAGCACCTTGTGCTGTATACTAAATGGAAAAGAAAACAGAGTGCAGAAAGCGTAGATCGGAATCAAATCTATTGCCGCTTGTCACTAGGTGCATTTACAATCACGCGAAGAGCCATGTAACCCTGTGACTTGAACCTGAATCACACATATTCTACTACTAAGCATTTCAGGTTAAGATTGGTGTCTTTTACGTATGAATTATATATATATATATATAAACAAGACATTTGACATTAACCACTATGGCTTTCTAATTATATGTATGTTGTTGGAATTCTATGATTCAAGTGTGAGTCGGCGGCACAGTGGCTAGGACTCTCATCGACCATGCACATGGTCCGGGTTTCGATCCCCTGACGACACACACCTGATATCAATGGTCGGCCTGCAGAATTGGCCTACCAGTGTCACATGTTGGAAATTCCATAGCTGTACCAAGAATACTGTGTGGAATCAAGCTATAATTTAAAAAAAATAAAATTAAAAAAAATCAATACACACTCCAAAGTGTCAAGCACCGTTGTGTCATTTCTACTTCCCATAGATTTTGTTAAAAAATATATATAACACTTAACAACTGCAGGGAATACGAGTCGGGAACTAGTTAGCAAACTTTTTTTATGAGGACCATTCAGGTAAAGGGAACTAGTAAGCGATACACTGACTTACACGTAGGTATTTAAGTGTTGGTTTGTAGGGATTTGATTGGTTTCAGGATTTCATCACGAGCTGACATTAGTTAGAGAACCATTGGAAAACTAATGTCAGCTCTTGATGAAATCCTGAAACCAATCAAATCCCTACAAACCAACACTTAAATACCAATGAGATACTCACTGGCGACTGGCCCTATTCAGGTTGGGTAGTTACCTGGGTTCCAGTGGGAAGTCGTGACCAGTAGGGTGCAGCGGGTTGGGTGTGAGGACAAATACTTGCCGAAGACTTTGGCTAGCGGTCGCGCTATGTCATGAATTGGCAGAAGTTAGAATTCAAGGATCATTGGATCGGGTCCCAATGGCTTAATGGTATACAAGCTCGCCTTGTAACCGGAAGGTCCTGGGTTCGAACCCTGATGGTGGGTGCGTACTGCTGAAGAATCCCAAAGTAGGACGAAACAGCTGTCCAGTACTCTCAGGTTTTCCAGTGGTTCTCTAACTAATGTCAGCTCATGATGAAATCCTTACACGTAGGTACTTAGGCTTGCTGGATGGTTTCTGATCCTTCATTTTTTCATGGTATTAATTCTTTTTTTTTAACAGAAGTTTATTTAGTGATATTCAGTCTTATTGTTCAATCGTAGGGGGAGATTCTTCGAAGTATCAACGCGTAAACTGATAAAAATCTGTCATATGTAAATACTTGGAATTGATAGTGTTCTCTGAGCTCCTTGGTTTAATTGCGGAGCTTTCATCGTCTTTCTGGACGACATCTTCAGCGCAGTATTTAGACGATGAAAGCTCCGCAATTAAACCAAGGAGCTCAGAGAACACTATCAATTCCAAATCATCCACCTGAGTTACAAATCTTTTCTATTATATGTAAATACTCTATCCGTTTTAGATGCTTATCATCACAATTCGTTGTAAAGATAATTAATCATGATAACTGAAACTGTTAGGAAAATGTTTGCAGTAAAAATTAGCAATACTTTAAATGTTTTAGAAAATTAATCCCTAAAGTGTTAAGAATATAAGGTAAAGGCATGTAATTCCTATTGATTATTAGTATGAGGATATGAAAATCAGTGAAATTAAATCCTGGAGATCACAAGTCGAATCAGAATGCTCTCAAAAGTAAGGTTTATACCTAGAGGACTTATTTCACTATTAGCTTTTATGCAAACGACTTGCTAGCTTTTGAAATCCATGCAAATTTCTAATATATAATCTTCAACCCTTGAGTCTATTTTTTTGAGAGATGGCGACTAGCTAGGCTCATTCAGTCACCTGTGGAATCTGTCACTCTCAAATGAAGGTAAATTATGATCATATCGTATTCTCACGAGTTGGTCACGGATTGATATCGGTTAGAGAACCATTGAAAACGAGTGAGTACTGTACAGACCTGATTCATCCTAATTTTGGAATATTTACAAATACGCTTCCACCACCAGGGTTCGAACCCAGGACCTTCCGGTTACAAGGCAAGCTTGTATACCATTCAGGCACTGGACCTGATTCAACAGCCAGCCAATGAATTCTAACTTCCACCAATTCGCGATTTTAGCCCAACCACTAACCAATGTCATCGGTGGGAGATCCATCCTCTCACCCCTGACTGGATGGACCTCACTGGTCAAGACTTCTCACCACAGCTCCAGGAAACAACGTCGTGTCTAGTACTCCTTGGTAATCAATGGTTCTCAAACTGATATCAATCCATGATCAACTCGTAAAAACAAGTCTAATCCTTACACATCGATTATTGAAATGCATATCATATTTTTAAAATAACAAAGGCTGGAAATCTTTCGCTTTTGGATTCACGTCTAATGTCTAAATGGTGATGTAACCACCTCTGAACCAAATGGGTCTCTGTTATGTACATAACGGAGATACAAATAAGCAAAGGTGAAAGTTTCACAAAAAAAATAGGAATGTGGAAGTCTACAGGAACCAAATCTTAAGGATAGCGTTTTACTAAAAAAAACACTGCTTTCATTAAAGTTTTTCCGAATTATATTAGTCTACACGTTTCTCTCAGTAGAAGAATTTATAGATGGGTTATTATGAGGTGGTCAGTTAACATTAACAGAGCTGAACAAAACTGAACAAAAGTCAAGTTAACAACAGTTGTAATGAGGGATAGGAGAAGAAAATATAATACAATTAATAAACAAGCAAGCAGGAAAGCGGTGAAACAAAAATTACGTATTTGGTGTTAAAATATGTGAGGTCGACTGTAGATTTAATGACTGAAAAAACTTCCTATGAATGCATAATTAAGGTCTTAACATGTGAACTGCCATTTCATTCTACAGTTTGAAGAAGTTTGAAATTCGTACTCTTTTAGGAAGGTTCTCACGTGTTCTGTAGATGACTTTGAGGTCGTTTTGCGGGTTTGCTTGGTGTCCAGATCTGATCAAGTGTCGCAGAATAGAGCGTCGGATGGATCTTTTCTATCCTTTATAAAACACTGACTGTGGGGAAGTGTGTCGATGATACGTTTGAATAGCAAATCCTGGTTGCAACATACATACATAGCCTCACACAAACAGGTGAACTGGTAGATGCATATTGGTGACATGTGTAAAAGTTATGTTCGTAAAATCTCAGCAGAATATAAATGCGTAATTCCCTGAAGAAATTCGGACCAGTTTGCTGAAGGAAACGTTGGAACTAATCATTTTAATTTTCCTGACATTTTACAAATACAACTTTTACATATATCTTATTGTCTGAAAAGATAACTGTGAATACTTCACGAGTCTCCCATGTTGTGTTATTGCTTTTTAGAAGGATAATCAATATCTAAGAATGATTGAATGACCTTTGTTCAGCTGAGGTGAACACCAACTTTGTTTATAATTATATTTTAAAAAAAGGCATGTTATTTTACGCTTGTAGATGACAGACGTGAACTTGTTATTTTTATTTCTTTTTCTGTTTTCATTATGTCACCGTTGTTTTTACTTTGTTTAACATAACTAGGAGCGGTGAATTGTTTTGTTCGTTGAATAGGTGGGAAAAGAGCTAGAATGTTAAAGAAATAATCTGTATGTTTCCCTTCCTTATTCCTCTTCAAACTAAGCACCTAGTAATATGTCAAGAGTGAATAAAGCCCAAAAAATCCGTTAAATAAGATGAAATATGCACTAAATACAGTTTGTTTTGACCAATGCAATGTTTAGTGTGTAGTAGTACATCGGTTTACATAGAATGAATTTTGTGTATATCATTCCCTTCCTTCCCTTTCAGTTGCGTTATGCGTGACTACAGTCACTAAATGAAATCAGAATCTGAGCAATAGCTATTTTACAATCGCACCTAGTCAAGCAATTTAGCTTACTTGAGCAAAGCTTATCCGCAATCTTAGTTGTAACAGTAAAGCGATACATCCTATCTTTGTGTTAAGCTAATTTCATTAAATATAAACACATAGTAGCTTAGTGTCTATACACTGAAAGAAATTTTATTTATTGTGACATGCTAATCATAAATCAGGCCTATCACTAAAAACTAAAGCTGTGGTATTTTACAGGTGGCTGTCGGTTACATACATTCATCCAACTAATAAAATGATATGAAAGATAGTCTCTAGTCAGGTTAATTTTACTGTGACGATTAAGTATATACGTGGAGGCTTTATTACAATTCATAATGAAGGTTGACATCTGCAGTCTGCATGACTTAAATGATTGTTATTGCATTAACACACTTCTTTTTATTACGATCAGTCAGTATTATTTATTATTATTGCCTAAGGTTCCAAGTGAAACATAGGGCTTCAACAACAAGTCTTCATTACGCCCAGTTCTCTGTGGTAGTCTTCATCTGGACTAATGATTTCCCATAATATCTCATATCCCAGTCACACGATCTCTCCTATATCATCCTTGGTCACACGTCCAACTTGTCTTCTCCCATTAGGCTATACTTGAGTGTCTGGTGCCCATAGTCATTCATTGATCTCCTTCTCCACGTGTGTCCTATCCATCTTCATTTGCTTCTGCATATAGGTTCTTGGTTGGTTAATTCGAAGAGTTCCTTACTGCTGATTCTTTTTTGTCAGCTGGTCTTCAGTATGGAGCCAGAGCAGCCAGCTGTTGAGGAAAGTATGCAGCTTGTTGGAAATGCTTTTGGTGACGCAGTGAGCCTATGAATCATATAGAAGAACTGACTTGACATTAGTTCTGAACATTTGAATCTTGTCCCTTATCCTGAATACAGAAGATTTCTACACTGATTATCCAAACTAATGAAGGCGTATCTAACTTTCCAGATTGTGGATTTAACACCCCCGCCCGTGCCACAGGATTTAGCTGGAACGATACTGGCTAAATTGATGCTTGTTGTTATTGTCGATTGGTTATCCTCATCACCTTAGTATTCGTTGTTTCTCCTTCCAACTTTTTCGTTTTCACCCTTGAATCTTTGAGTTTGTGTGACACTAAAAAAATAAATCTTCTGCAAAGTCAAGATCTTATAAAGTTTTTTTTATTGACATTACATATTCCTGTCAGTCAATGAGCTCATTATAATGTAGCATACATTGAACCTTTGAACTTTTGTTTCAACGCACTCACCCACTTTTGGCACTACTCCATCTTTTGATTTGTGACTCTCATGTACATACTAGATTCGCTCTCTCGTTGTGCTTTCATTCAGCGCACTCTTTGAGCCTACCAGATAAGTTGTAAAACACCTTTATTTATCAAAATTTGATATTCCATTTATGTGTAAAATACAACTCCGTCCCAGACACACTTCTATTTCAAATTTTTTCACTGTGATTTCGTCCATCAGTACTTACACGTTAGATAGAGTACTGCTAAGGTTATAAAGCGGTGAAGCTTTTGGTAAGTGCGGTTATTTTGAAGTCTACCTTAAGTCTAGTCTAACACTAACAATAAGTTAGAAAAAACGTTGAAAGAAGTAACAAAACTGGTAAAAAAATAGCCTTCGTATGACTGATTACCGTATAACATTCGTAGATGAAAGTGAAATCAGCAGTCAAAAAGAAGTCTCACAGACAATCATTGGATATAAACAGCCAATTATAAAAAAGGCTAGAAGAATGCTGATAACAGATAAAAGACCTGAAGTATTTATTGTCAACAGGAGGTGGAACATTTTCTGCTTACCCAGCTTGTTACGAACTTGCATCGATTAGTTTGCCAACCTCAACATATATTACATACTCGAGTAAAAATCAACTTGAACAAACTTTCTTTCTCACTTCAAACATTTTATCAAAGTTTTGTTGGAAATTATATATATATATATATTACGGCCTGTATATCATTAGTTTATGTGAATTATTTGATATTACTGATAGGATGACCAAAAAAATGATAATTCTATGTCCCTAAAGTAATTTGAAATCTAACAAAATGTTCAGCAATCTTTTTTTTCATTTGTTGCCTGTTTTAGTTCTTCAAATTATTCTAAAAAAAGTCTTCATGATAACCTTGACCTAAAGTCCGATTTAACAATCTTTACAGCTGGTTGAATATGCATATATATCTAATTATCTGATTATATATGAAGTTGTAAAGAGAAGGGAGTCAGAAATTTGAAGCAATGCATTCTGAAAACCAAACTTTGAAGAGAAACATTTTCTCCATAGAAAAGTAATTAGACTGATTGAATGGATTAATATATATATTTAATAAATCATCTATATAACAGAGATACTATGCATGATTAGACGGCGTTCAATCTAAATACAGTTTACACTTTTCAGCAACAGGAGTGAAAGTTTTTCGGAGTAATCTGATTATGATGAAGCTAAACAAATGTCATCTACTTAATGCAACAAATAAATCGTGTCATGGGATGTTTCTGATGATTCTATCTTTATGGTTATGGAATGTATTTAAACTGGATTTAGTCTATTTGAGCACTGAGTATATTTTGTTTATTTTATATGCTTAAATACAGTTGCTTCAGGAACTGACATTATTTAGAGGACCACTAAAGTCCAGATGGTACTAGGCGACCGTTTCGCCCTTGTTCATCAGTACGTATACATCACTGTAGTGGGAATCGAACCCATGACCTGGAACAGAATACACAAGCTTATGAATTCTAACTTTCACCCATTCGAAATCTAAAGAACAACTACTGGTCAGTGTCACCAGCAAGTATATGCCTTCGTACCACCCAATCAAGTGAACTCCATCAGCCAGGACTTGTTACTAAAACGGTTGTCATCTTCAGCATGTAGTCAGTCAATTTTGAAGATTAAAATGATTTTCACGTGATTGCTTTGAGTGATTTGGTCGATTTCAAAGTGGAACACGAACTTGCATTCGTTAGAGAACCATGCGAAATCAGGAAGTACTGGGCAGATATCCTGTCTAAGTTTGGAACTACTCAGCAGTAACGCAGCTCTCCTTGGAACGCAAATATACTGGGTTTAACTCCCACTGCTGTGGTAGATGAGAACTACCGAAACGTCCAAAACTAAAACGAGACATCTGTCCGGTACTTTCAGGCTTCCTATGGCTCTCTGATAGATGTTTTTTAGTAATATGACTCAAAATCTACCAAATCAGTGCAAACCAACACTGAGAAAATTTTTATTATCGCTAAAGAACATACTGCTTATATCAACACAATTCACAGAAGTCCTTCTATACTTGGGGGCATTAAATCCAATGCATTAAATGTTAAGTGGTAATTATAAGAAAACCTAATATTCAGCCTAAATATGGACACTGTCTGTTGTTTGAAAATGTAACTTTTCAATTTTCGCACCACAGTGTCTTATTCAATTGTTCAATAGTTGAACCATATGATTTTTTGTATGTTCAGTTATTCTACGAATATACACACACGATATGGAAATTCTTTATTTTTGTGTAATTATCAGTTTCAGTGTGTCACTGGTCACTAGTACTTTAATACAATTCTAGAGCTACTGTAAACAACTGAAGATTTTGGAAGGTGGACATTATTCCCTAAATTATGAAAATCAGAAGAAATTGTATAGTAATTCACTTACCGATTGAAGAATCTAGTTTTAAATTCATGCAATGGCTAAGTACATTGTCTAACTCTTCTTGATTAAGCCTTTGACCTTTTACATTTTGGCAGTGATTAACTCGATGCTGATATTCTTGATGTGTAGGACTACCAGTGTTACGATCACCATGTTTGTATAGTAGTTTTCTTGTTTCTTCTGATTCACTAGGAAACAACTTTTCAATTGGATACTGTTGTAAAGGTGTTGTATAATGTTGATGTTGGTGTGGCTTACGTGTAGACTGACTCGGTGGAAAGGAGGATAGTGATGATGTATTATTATCTGAAAGCTTTTTCGCATCTTCATTTGAATATCCACGATCATCAGAATCTTCATTTTGAACTGTTCTATAATGTGTATCAGATTTTGTACATTTGTTAATTAGATTTTCATCGAAACTTTTTCGATAAGATGTTTTCTGTTGGTGTTGATGAGGATGATAATGTCGATGTTGTAGACCATCATAAGGATAATCATGCAAAGCAGAACTGTCTGATCCATGCTTGATTGTCATTCCCGGTGTAGTTGAATATGTATCCATCTTTTTTATTCTCAATACTATAATATCTTCATCTGGTGATTGTAGAAGTTGTATAGCCTCAGAAAGACTGCATGATGATAGATGAATACCATTGACGGCTAACAGGATATCACCAGGATTAATTGAACCACTACGACTTGCTACACTACCAGGTATAACTTTACTAATTAACAGCGGTTGTCCGGCTGTCTTATTGATCGATGCTAATTTATTTATAAACAATAAGATAAAAATAAGCACTTGTTATTTATTCAGTACGATTTAATGGCAAGTGACATGTGAATAAAAGAGTAATAATACTGAAATAGACAAAAGTAGTACACAGATAAACACTGAATACCGTCATTTCGAATAGCGTAGAAAATTTGAATTTTGCTGAGGTTTACGAATGTGTCTATATGATGAGTACTGGTGGGCGTAAAACTATGCCGCCCCTCAGACCCCAATCGAACAACACATTCTAACATTTAACATTTCATAAGAATGCATTACAGTACGCAGTTTGATATTATCAAATAACCTTTATTTTCATAGTGAAGACTGAATAAATAGGTCTAGGACCGAACAAATTTATTGATCGAAAACTAATTACCTATTGAGTTTGTGTGAGGAGGAGATGAGAGCTTAGGGAAAATCTGGCAGCCATTTGAAGAGGACTTCAGAGAACTAGGTGGAACGGAGATATGCTACTGAAGGCCTATGCTCTAATCTGAACCCAAGGGAATAATAATAACATGTTGGGATGATTATTAAGCAAGGTTAAGAAGGCTTCTGAGAATCTTTTGTTTTGCCAGATTTGTGCGTTTCACTCTGCTACGTAAATAGATACGTGCTTAGATGGTTGGAGGCTGTCGGCAGGAAGCCTTTGGGCACCAAGGTTTCGTGCTAGCTGGCACTCACCAGTCACCAAGGTGTATCTGCAATCGAGAAGGAACTCACATCCACTATGAAATTCAAACCAGCGTCGCCCAGTGAGTACAGCAGTCAGAGACATTGCCACTGAGCTATTCGGCCTCGCGATCGACCTCTTGTACGACAGTAGTGGATATTACTTTTGAATGAACACCAATCAGTAACTAGTGTAATGTATCGTCAGCAGCAAGGCGTATCTGCAACTTGCACGGAACTTAGGTCAGACTGGGCTTCCTGTCGATTGCCTCCAACCATCTGATATCAGCAATTTACAGTGCACCGTGCTGGTGAGCCACCTAGAATGGTGGCCACATTGCAAATTTGATTGATAGAATTCAATGTGCATCAAACAAATGACTAGGCATACACATACACATCACACGAGTTACTTACTAGTATCCAGTGAAAAGGATACGTGCTTAATGTAACTAACTGTCAGAGTACACATTTATATCTATGAAATATGATGGCTAGAGAGGATAAATTACCATCCTAATGAAAGTAAATCAACTATGTTTACAACATTCAACGGATAGGTGATTTATTGGTGTAAATTTTCACCTAGTCAAGCTCCTGGGAGGAAACTAAAAGTCACTCTATAATAAATTATCCTATGAAATTGATTTTTACTCGAAAAATGTTTTTAGAAACCAGTGCTAGTTCATTTTATATCTAAGTTGTAAAAATTGCATATTCTTCTTTATCATAAAATGACTGGTTGAACGGGGTTATTTTGAAGTGGAGCTGTCTAGCTGTTCACAAAATCGACTTATATAATAATAGCTCTAAGAACTTCTCAAACTTATGTCAATCAACTATAGGAGAATAGCAACACAGTAGCATTAACATGTTTTTGTTCGAATACCTTAGTTTAATTTACTTGTTTAGTAGTGGGTAGCAATGGAATCCAGGACACAAATGGGCTTCGTTTTATGTGAGAATCGTCTGCTAGAGACACATACAGTTCGATAACTGACAGTACTACCAAAATGAAACAGATAAATTCATTTTAGAGGCACCCGCGGAAAGTCACTAGTGAAAATAAAAATTAGTCTAATGTAACGTGTTATTTGTAACATAACATAACATAACATAAGCTTTATTCCAAATCAGTACTTGTGATACAGAATGGAATTCTCAGCATTTTACTACAATATTGCATCCAGTTTTTTACATTAACAATAAATAAAGTTCTACATAGTTTAAAGTTATCTCAACAACATATTAGTATGTCGGTAGCAAAGCCAAAATTAAAGTGTTTGAAGGTGTTAGAAAAGTAGATACTACTAGCATATTTACTGGCGTAAGCGATAGCAAAATGTTCGAGATGTACAGAGTGTGAAAGAACGAACAAGAATGTTTTAAGTAGAGTTTGCAAGGAAGAGAGAAACAAAACAGCACATAACAAAAATAAATACAGAATGAAGAGCGAGAAAACGTTGTACCTATAAATGATGTGAGTTGGAAAGACAAGATCCATTGGTTCTACTGACTATTTAATAAGTTAAAGGTTTCATGCCTGATGCATTCTTTATCGCACAGAACACGAGCTAAGTAGGGTATGGATGAGTTTTTGTACTTACTAGTGCGGGCATATAGTTTCCTATATAGGCTTCTTGTTTTCCCTGAAGAGATACATGGGGAGAGTTGTGAATGTAGAGGGTGTTGTGAGTCAGATAAAATGGATTTCGCCCATTTTTCACATGAGTCCATATGCCTGTCCACCAGAATATTAACTAGCTGGCTAAGTGGCAAGCTGCTTACCCTGCTGACAACCTTTAACATCCTACGTAATAAGGTATAGTCTTTCTTCAATAGCCCAGGAAAGACTAAGGGGGAGCAATAGAGAATAATAGGCAGAATACGGGAGTTAACAAATTGTAGGAGTAAGGGTTGGGTTACACCAGAATGTCTTAACTTCTTGATGTAGAAGGTAAGACGGTATATTTTCTTGGAAATCGTCAAGATATGAGACGACCAGGAAAGATCAGAAGATAGAGTGACGCCTAGGTATTTAATTTCCGACTTGGTTTCTATTTCACTGCCATCTATGTTGCACACCTCGTGAGTGCTAACCAGTTTGTTTAGGTCAGATTTATGCCTAAGGGTGAAATTAACTGTTTGGCATTTGGAGGGGTTTAAGGTTAGACCGTTTTCCTTGGACCATTGGCTAATTTCCGATAAGAAGCCATTTAGTTTAGAGCAGTCACTTTGACATTTGACAGGTAAAGGTACAGTTAGGTCATCAGCATATTTGACAAAGTTAATGTCATTTGAAGACGGTAGGTCATGTAGAAAGAAAGAAAAGAGAAGTGGGGAGAGTACAGCACCTTGGGGGACACCAGCTTCTGTGAGCACAGCAGAGGAGGATTGGCCTTTGTATACGGTGTACTGCATTCTGTTTGAAAAGTAGGAATGCAACCAGTTAGTGACCCAGGACTCGGTTTGTGTCATGGAGAGCTTATTTAGCAAGAGACTTCTAGGTACAGAGTCGAAAGCAGAAGTAAAGTCAAGAAACGTGCAGCGGACATATTTGGCACCTTTGTCTAATGATGAGATAATACTGTTGTGTAAGACGGCTGCAGCGTCTAAAGTACTCCTACCCTGTCTGTAGGCAAATTGTTTGGGGTCTTCGAAGCTTTTAAGGGAGGGTTCGAGTTTAAGAAGTACTAGTTTTTCCATGAGCTTTAGAAACGGGGAAGTGATGGCGATGGGTCTGAACTTTACGTTCTTGCTATTTCCAGGTTTAGGGACAGGGACTATTTTAATGTCTTTCCATGGAACAGGTACAACGTTTTCACGGAAAGAAGCATTTAGTATATTAGTTAGAGGAGAACATAAAGCATCTGCACATTGTTTTAGAACATATGCAGGTATGCTATCAGGGCCAAGACTATGTGAGGGCTTAAGAGTTTTAAGACATTTCAAAACATCGAGAGTGTTGAAGTATTGTAAAAAAATAGTCATTCGAAAGTTGTTTCGGAGTTAATTTGAATATTTCTGTTGATGCATAAAAGAAATACTTCACTGAACAAACGATATTATCATATATTCAGGTGTCTAGTAAGAATTATTACTACTTTTATTAGTATTGTTCACATTCTTTGTGATTAGGTGAGAACAAAGTTTATATTTAAGTCAGAGTGAGAAGCGTTTTGATGAAGTTATTGGAATTAGATTAATACACTGATTACTGCCATCGAAATGTTCTATTTTACACTTAGAATTAATGAGAAAGGTGTATACTTGTTAGTTAATAATGACCTTGACCTCATGCAAATATCTTATTACAACGTCAATTTAGTGCTGTAAGGGTATTCAGTGTTTCTACTCTTTCTGTTTATGTTTCAATGGTACAGTGCTTGCAAGCAGCACAGGAATTCTGGATTCGATTCACCACTAACACACTCTTAAACTTCACCTAGCATACCAGAGGTGAGTGAGCTGGCTAAAGAATAAACTTGTGTTAAGTAGGACACGGTCCCAATGACGGAAGGGTACACGACATCGCCTTATAACTCGAAGGTCATTGGTTTGAATTCCAGTGAGTACGTACTACTGAAAAGTCCCACACTAAGACGAAACAGCTGCCCGATATTCTCTGATTTTCCAGTGTTTTCCAGTGTTGGTTTGTAGGGATTTGGTTGTTTGGTTACAAGATTTTTATCATGAGCTGACATTAGTTAGAGGACCATTGGAAAACCTAAGAGTACTGGACAGCCGTTTCGTCAGCCCAGTTTGAGACTCTTCAGCAGTACGCTTCCACCCATCATGGTTCGAACCCAGTACCTTCTGGTTGCAAGGTGAGCTCGTATACCATTAGGCCACTGGGACCCGTTCCAATGGCCCACGAATTCTAACTTCTGCCAATTCACGACATATCGCGACCCTAGCCCCCCAGAAGTCGTGGCCAATAGGGTGCAGGGTGTGAGGATAAATACTTGCCGAAGACATTGGTTGGGGTCGAACTACGTCGTGAATTGGCAGAAGTTAGAATTCATGGGTCATTCGATCGGGTCCCAGTGGCTTAATGGTATACGAGCTCGCCTTGTAACCAGAAGATCCTGGGTTCGAACCATGATGGATGGAAGCGTACTGCTGAAGAGCCCCAAACTGGGCTGACGAAACAGCTGTCCAGTACTCTCAGGTTTTCCAATGGTCCTCTAACTAATGTCAGCTCATGATGAAAATCCTGTGTTTCTTTAACTGATGTTGACTTATGATCAGACGTGTAACCAATCGAAATCTTTGCAAGCTAACACTTGAGAAAGAAGGAAGTTGGAGCATTAGGCTAGTAACTCCACCTTATAAAATAAACATTATCGCTGTTGAAAATTCAAAGCCTCAAGTCCTGCGCTCTACTTAAAGCCTAACGAATGAAAACTAATTGTTCGTTTTTCTTAGTTAGGAATTATATACAGCTTTAAAGACTTAATCACTGAATGTGTTGACCTGATGTTAGTGCTAAATTTGACATAACTGCTAGGGACACTGGAAAAGACAGTATTATACATTAATCTGAAAATATGGTCAAATACAACACAATTAGAATTCAGTTGGTGGTTGGTAACTAGCAGTGGAATCCAGGATGCGCATTTCGTCCTATTTGGGACTCTTCGGATGTATGTACCTGAATTCCCCAGTAAGTGATGAAGTTCCCACCGAGTCTCGAGCCGAGGCCCATAGTTTCAAACGCTAAGGCGTTACCCACTAAACGACTTTGGCCACGAGAACCACCTCTTGTGCAACGGAGTACATTAATTACTTAACTGAGACCGAGCACTTCGGTCCAATCAATCTACGGGAAAATCTAAAACTCAACTAAATATAGCACACGTTTAAAACGCATAACTACTTCAAGTTTACTAGATAAATGTGATTATTATTATTATTATTACTATTATTTCAGTTAACAAGTAAATGAAGAAGCTTGTTGAAGAGATAGTAACTTAGAACTTTCTCCACTGTCCAATTAAATCAGTGAAGCAGCACCTGAATTGAGCAACCATCAAACTAATGACTCTGAGAATAACATCCTTTTGTGAAACAGGTGAATTAATGATGAAGAGTAAATAAAAATCAAGTAGTTTTAAGTGATCTTGACTTGAATGGGAAACTCTTAGTATTATTAAATTGTTTATTCATAAAAAGCAATTATTTTGTCTGAAAAATAATTCTGAACTGTTTTTCCTCTTACAGTGAATCACAAGTAAGCAGATACCACGGTTTAATTGTGTGAAGCTAAATGTCGTCGAATCCTATGATATATATATATATATATATATATATAACACAATATTTCTCACCTTGCAAATTAATACCCAAACTTGCTGATCTTCTAATCAGTTTAACATCGAAAATTCCAGTTGCTGGAACAACTGAATCCGCCACAGTATACTGTATCAGAAGTGTCAACGATTGAACACGAAAATATTTCTTTTCAAAGTCAATTGGTTGTAGATATCGTTGAATAAGTTCATCAATAGTTCTATTGAGTGTGGATTGACCATTGATGCATATTACTCTGTCACCTTCTTGAATAACACCAGACCTGTAAACGGAAATTTAAAAAAAAACACCGTTTTGCAGTCTACTCGGTATAGATACTTACTGTAGAAATGTAAACTGAATGTCACATCCAAAGAAAACCTTATTCTTTTGTCAGTTTTCAAAGTCATGTTGTCCAGAGGGAAAGTAGGTGACATTATTCCTAACTGCTACTGTATTCTGATATAAATGTATCAAAAGCGGATTACCACATCTTTGAATTTGAGCATGGTTGTATGTCCAAACTATTGAGGATAACCCAACTACTGATAAATATGTATATGTATATATATATATATATATTGCATGGGGGATTTCATCATGAGCTGAAATCGGTTGGAGAACCACAGGAAAACCTGGGAGTACTGGACAGCTGACTCCTCAGTCTAGTTTTAGACTCTTCATCAGTACGCACCCACTACAGCGTTTCTAACCCAGGACCTTCTGGTTACTAGGCCAGGGAGCTTGTAGACCACTGAGCCACTGGGACCCGATCCAATGGTCTTTGAATTCTAACTTCTGCCAATTCACGACATAACACAACCATTTTGCAATGCCTTCTTCGATAAGTTACTGCCTCATCTTCAGCATGCTGTACCCTACTGGTCACGGCTTCCGACTAAAACCCCTGGTTACTGTCTGAATAGGGCCAGTCGCTAGTGAGCATCAGATTAGTGGCTCAATTGTCTACGAGCTTGCTTTGTAACTAGAAGGTTTTGGGTTCGAACCACGCTGGGTGCGTACTGATGAAGACTCCCAAACTAGATTGAGGAAACAGCCATCCAGTACTCCCAGGTTTTCCAGTTGTTCTCTATCTGATGTCAGCTCATGATGAAATCCTCCATGCAATCAAACAAATCCCTACAAAAACAATATTTGAAAATATTGGAACCCGAAAGGGAGGCGGCGAGTTGGTCGTCCAAGGGTGACTTGGAGGAGGTCATGCGAGAAGGAGATGAAAGCATGTGGACAGACCTGGAGCAGGGTGAAAAAGTTGTCAGAAAACCGAAGGCAATGGAGGTGCGCAGCTGAAGCCCTATGTTCCTCTAGGAACTAAAGGATACAATAATAATAATAATAATTATATATCCATCAGATTGTGTGCCGATGTCTAACCATTGAAGATTTCTATGTAACCTCAATTTTAAAATCCATGTACGTGGAGGCTATTCAATTTGAAGTCAAATTGAAGTATGCGCTGAAGATGTCACCCAGTAGGGTGATGAAAGCTTCGCAAATTGACCATCCAGCTCAGAGAACTAAACCACATCAAAAGAATTAGCTTTAAATATTCTGGTTTCATGTGTAAGATGTCAATACAGTACTGTCATTTCTTGAGCTGTCTACACGCCATACATAACCATACATGTATTTGGAAATAGTGTTCTTTTACATTCTCAGTAGGTCATAGGGTTTCAAGCTACAGCTTTGAAGTTTCTGTTTATTTTCACGGAGTGGGGCTGCTAGCCTCAAGCTCAACTTCTCCTCTTCACCGATCTTATTACCAGCTTAGAGAGGCAAAAAAGCCAGTCGGCTGGAGATTGAACTCATGATCACCTGCGTGGTTGTCGAGCACTCTACCTCATACCACAAGTAAGTTGAAAGACGAAGAAACATCTCTTAAAAATCAATCAATGTTTGATAATTCACACTATACTCAGATCTTGGTATCGCCACATACATATACACACAAACCTGTTTGTGAACAAATCCAAGGGATCACTGAAATTCACAATATCACCTTAACTGGCCTAACTGTTAGTTATTTGACTGTACCAGTCCAAGAAGAAATTTCTCCTATCCATTTCCGTTTCCAGTGGAACATGGGGCTTTAAGTTATGGAGTTTAATTAGCAGTAATGTAGTTTTTATAAAATAGGTTTTCTAGGGACTCACAAAACCTTACCTCTTTTGTAAGCTGACTACCAGTAAGTAAAAGGCGATGAGGTTTAGAAGCATATCAGAGGGGATTCGAAGCTAAGCGCGTGTCTGGTTGGCACGCATTCTGTCACTGAACTATCACCATTGACTGACTGATTTCCGTATAGAACTATGTACCAGAGTTTAACAGTTCAAGTTGCCACATTTCATGTAGTACACAAAGCAGACAAAAGTTTGAAAAATAGACTTAGAAAAAGAAGGATTGTGTGGAAGAAAGAACAGCAACATAGAAAAACAATAAGGTTTATTAGACATGACAGACCGCAAAGAGTGAATCCAGCTGAGCCACTGTGAACCAAATCGTGCCACATCAGCTACTGGTTCTGAGAACCCTAAGGACCCAAACCAGGTAGCCTAAACCTCTCTATGCGGCTCAAACTAACTGTCAAACATTTCATGGACTGATTTCAAGTTTCCGTTTGACCTAATGCCATGTCAGATATCATTTTTTACCAAGGAAGATGATTGCCAGGCACGCACAACACGTGTCCCAGCCACCTCAGCCGATGTAGCTTCACAACTTTATCGCGTGACTGTGAAACTGCTTTAAACCTTAATCCAGAATGATCGAAATCGATACTGACACAATTAGTGTTCCTCTATATAGCTGCTAGATGCAAGTTTAAGAATTTGTGTCAACTATGCTAATTAAACGAAAGCAAGTTAAATAGGTTTATGCGCATTTCCACGTCAGTAAATGCAAATCATCTAATTACCACTCATAAATGATGCTTTCCAACAAAATTTCTAATCCTCACGACAGTTTTTATGAAAATTAACGAACATTTTCCATAATCACCAAAATCTTCCCTTCATATTTACTTTTCAAGTTGAAAGATGGCGAGAGAAAAAAAATTAGCGTAAACCAAGTAGTTCAGATCGTTTTGTAATCTCATTAATTCTGATTATTATTCCTTGTTTTTCTCATAAGATTTCATTGGTGTTATGTTTTAAACTTATTATTGTCAATTGCTATTAACAAGTCATATGTATTCGCCTCAAAGTGGATCTCTGTAGCTGTTGAACAGACTGTTGTAGATTGGAATTTTTAGCTTTAGAGTCCAACTGTTTTTTGTCGTCACTCACCTGATTAGTGTGATTACGGGGATCACTGAGTTGATAAAAGTGACCAGATGGACTAATCATATCCTAATACTGTTCCTCCTATTCTGATGCATAAAGTCATAAACAGCATCTGACTAGAGCCCTTGAAGACTTTGAGCTTGTATTATTTTCACCTTGATGTGAAAATGTGACTAATATCTAACCCATCATTATCAGTTCTACCCAATTCAGCCCTTCCCCACCACATGAAACCAATTTGTGTTATTTGGACATACTTTCATAGATTCCAAAATGGTTAAAATGACAAGAACCTGAAAATTCTGAAGATTACGGAAATTGAAACCTCAAAATGCCAACAAATCAGAAGAATTTTGTCTTTATTTTGCAGTTCAGTACTTCAATGATATAAGCAGATGTGGAGAAGTTTCGAGTTTAGATATTTCCTGCATATGAAATAACTGGAAAAACCAACCAAATCCCTGCAAACCAACTCTTGAAAATTATTCTGATGCTCGCTAGTGACTGGCGACAGGTCAGAGTTTCCTGGAGTTCTAGTTAGAAGTCATCATCAGTGTGGGCCATCCTGCTAGGAGTGGGGGCAACTACTTGCCTCTAACATTGGCTGGTTGTGGAGCTAAAATCACCGATTGATAAAAGTCGTAGTTCATGGGCCATTGAGTAGGGTCCCGATGGCTGAATGGCATACGAGCTTGCCTTGTAAATGGAAGGTCCTGGATTAAAAGCCTGGCGGTGGGTGAGCACTGTGAGGAGTCCTCAAATGGGACGAAATAGCTATCCAGTATTCCCCGGTTTTCAATGGTTCTCCAGCTGATATCAGTCTATAGTCAAACTTGAAAAACTAAGATATTGCTTTGTTACGATAATACATGAATCCAATGAAAAGACTGTCAACAATGTGACTAGTTGTCAATAAAACGAGTTGATATCTACAATTCGATGCGAAGAAAGCGCATCAATTTAGTTGACGTTATTAAAAACCAGGCGAAAAAATTACCCATACCAACAACAATAAAAGCAACCAATCAAATGAGCTTTGTTTTTTTCCCTCAGATTATTGCAATTAAATTTGAAATGTGTACAAATAATAAAACTTTGAAGCAATTTACCACCAGACTAATTAATTTCAAGTATTCACTATGAAAATGAATTATGTAAGTTTTACATGTTGTTTCGTTTTTAAAGAAAAAGGTAGAAGTATTCTTATTCTTCTTTTTCTTTAACCAAGAATATGAGAGTTTAAAAGTTAAACTAAGAAGAATAAATCACTGTGAATTTTTCAACATTCATGTCAATTTAGTGTTTCTGTATTGTGTAGAGAATTAACATGCATCATCATCATCATCATCATCGTCACAAAACTGATGCAAACTTTCCATCAACATCTGCCTTCATTACCTCGATAATGAAAAATTGGATGGCCTGCTGAGAAGGATAAGCAGTGATAAACTCTGACAACACACCAACCAACCCACCAAATATACTGAAGAAAGCAGAGGTGGACTAGATGTTCATTGAGGAGACTATCAAGTGACATCAGACGCCAGTTAAGCCCTCAAGTAGTACTGTGATGGGGAAAAACAAGTTGGCTGTCCAAGGTTGACACAGAAGATACCATGTGAAGAGAAGATGAAAGGTTCTGAACAATTATGGATCCAAGTAATAAAGATGGAAGTGAAAAGAATACCATTAGAGATGTGCTGCTGAAACTTTGTGTTCTACTCAAGATCCAAGGAGTGAATAATAGTGATAAAAGTTCAACTAGTATGAATGTCCAGACTTGAAAAGAATAACACTGGAAAATTCTTAGATGTCTGTTGAATCACTGCCATTTGTAATTAAGACTTACTAAGCTAAGAATGGACCTGCAAACAACAAACTCCGAACAGAGGCAACTGTATCAGGTCCCAGTGGCTTAGTGGTCTACGATTTCGCTGGACTAGTAACCAGAAGGTCCTGGGTTCAGATCCCGGTGGTGGATGCGTACTGCTGAACAGTCTAAAACTAGACTGAGGAAACAGCTATCCAGTACTCTCTGTAGGTTTTCCAGTGGTTCTCCAACTTGTGTCAGCTCATGATGAAGTCCTGTAACCAGTCAATCCAATCCTTTGCACGCCAGCACTTGAAACTCGGAACTATTGTTGCTGTATTTGGTAGGCATTTTTCATATCTTTCTGTCTGTTCATTTCATAAAACACTGTTTGCTAACCAACGCGGAGTATTCCACTAACCTCGAACAGTTAAAGTTCATTGAATCAATCAGCATAATAGCAAAATCTGACTCATAAACACTGTCAGACACTGAATATTGGAAAGCAACAGTCTAAGAAAATTGAATGTTATTTTAAAGCCATCAATAAACACTGAATATTTAATCCATAAGTAATCTATCCTGAACCAACGTGAAGAACCTAGAAGACCCGGATTTCGCGCGTGGATGATTTATGTTTGATGTCACACGAAATCGAACACTTACAAGCGAAAACTGACAAACTGATCGAAGAAGCCACCGGCGAAGACAGGACTCCAAGTGAACATAGACAAGACGGAGGTTATGAAAATAGCCAACCAACAACAACAACATCAGCAACATCAAGCGCCAATCACCATCAACAGAAGGGATTTGAAAGAGGCTACTTCATTCACTCGCTTATATAGGGAGCATTGTCTCAACTACAGGAAGTCGGAACGGGCGAGTATGTCAAATCGAGCGAGAATCAGCAAGGCGAGAAACACATTCATCAACCTGAAACCAATCTGGAAATCTTAGTCACTCAGCATCAACAACAAAATTCGGTCTGATTTTCAATATAAACGTCAAGTCAGTTAGTTCTTCTATGCGGATCAGAAACTTGGCGGGCGGGTCACAAATAATATTTCCAACAGCCCGTTGCAGACCTTTATCAACCAACAACTGTCTTTGCTTCAAACTGAAGATCAGATGGCCAAGGCGGAGAGAATCGCCAACAAGAAACAAGGAACTATGGGAACAAACAAAACAAGAATCAATCGCCAACCAACAAATATGCAGGAGAAGGTGGAAATGGGTTGGACACTCGCTGAGGAGACCACTGGGTGACATCGCGCGCGCCTCAGGCCATTGGTCGAGTGAAACTCAAAAGGGAAGTGGCGAATAGGACGTCAGTGCAAGGGTGACATGGAGGAGGTCGTGTGAAGAGGAGTTGAAACAGTATGGGCCAACATGGATGCAAGTGAAAAGTATAGCAGAAGCAAGACAGAAAGAAGCAAGTGGAGACGTGCAGATGAAGCCCTATGTTCCACTAGGAACCCAAGGGAACAATAATAATAATAAGTAATATATAAATGAATAAGTGGAATGAATAAGAAATATCTTACCTCCACTTTGTATAGATTCAGTGGAGTTTTTTTAATAGTCTTTCACATTACAAATACTTCTTGAAATACAAAATTTTATTTTTCCATAAATTCAACTGAAAATGGACGAAGAAGAAAACAACTGTGTTTTTCCTCAACGTGTTTTACTTAAACAGAATATATATTGCATGTTTTGATACATTTTGCAAATATGATTACAAAATTTTATCAAAAGGCACGTATTCAGGGAATATTCAATTCCTATTTTCTCACTTAACGCATAGTCTAACTAACTTTGTTACATAACATTCATGCGAATAATAGTTTGGTTAGTGGAATGATTGTAAAACTCTCAGTCATATATGTGTCTTGGACGTACAAACTTTTCACTCTCCTTGATGACTGTAACATATTTACAATCCTAACTTTATTCTTTTTTTCAAAAAAAAAATGTTATTCCTTTACGTTCCCAGGGGAACATAGGGCTTCAAGATAGAGGCTCGAAGTTTTGGTAGCAGTAGGATTTTTTTATTTCCAGGGGATAAGGTTGCTAGCCTCATGCCCAGCCTTCCTTCTTTACCAGTTGTAAATAAACTTGAACATTGAACGTTGGTTCATTGGCCTTGGTAGTCATTGGCGGGCAACTCGAAGGCGCGAATGGTTCAGTCGTGTACAAGTTGGAAGAAGACGAAAGAATACAAATAAAAGTACAATACATTATATGTCAAATATTTGTTTATAGACTCTGTATGATAGATCAAATTCAACTGCTGAAGGATATATTTTCTTCTTACATGTCCTTGTGTTTTGGAGTTCAAGTCGACAAGCATACTTAGTAGTTGTCGATTCTGAGCGTCTTCGCAAATCATAGTAAATTAGGGTTAAGTTCCTTGACACCAGTCATATTACTGGCTTGACGAGGTAAAGAAGTGCGTTGGCCGGGGATCGAAACCTGGACTACATGTGAGGTTGGTGAGCATTCCACCTCTGTGCCAATGACTGACAAACTGTATTCTTACTATCCTAAAATGTATTTTTGTAGTTCTTTGATAGAAATGCTCATCAATCTTGCACTCATCCGGATTTGATTCTTGTCAGATGCACTAGTAAACCTCACTTGGCTGATAGTAAGCCCGAAAAAGAGGTAAGGTTGAGTGTGAGGCTAGGAACAGAACCCCCAGAGACACTTCAAAGCTAAAGCTGTAAACTCCTTCTTCCAATCGGACTGTTTGATTTGGTTAACTGAAATGTTAAAGAAGTGCTGAATTTTATTCCAACCCTTATTCTCCATAACTTAAAATACAGGACCAGACAACCAACCAAAACTCTAAGCAGGTAATTCAGCTGATGAAAGCGATATATATTCTCCTCTTTTCAACTCTTCTTGATTAAAAATGAAAACTAAAGTTGTTATTTCAAAAAAATCAATAAAATGATTACTCTATCTGTTTATCTCATTTTTCATTTATACTATCAAACATCTCAAATGTAATTTTTCATATTGTGTCGACTGTTATCATAAGAAAATTCCCAAAAGAATATGATGCATATGAGGAGTGTTCATTTTTTCTCTTTTTTCATTTTGTTTGAATTATACACTTATTGCTTGTAATCAAAATTACATTTCAGAAGCTTATCAATACAAACAAAAATACATTTATTCGTCTACTGGCAGAGTTCTCTGTCTAATGGTACATTGTGTTGTTTTTTTTCTTTCCCATGAAACGTGACTCAGATTAATGCTGAATAAATGACTGACTGACCCTTATACATGCGTGAAACAACTCAGCTTGCCTGAACACGAATATGAGATGAAGTTTTGCAGATAAATGAGGATATAAAAAAAATAAAAGTTAGTGCATTATGCGCTGTGTCACACGTGATTTCTTAACTCCGCATATCATGGGTCATAATCATGAGAATTATAGGGGTATAATGTTTTTCTATCGACTAAGGGACCCGTGGACCCAATTAAACAAAACAATATAGTTAACAAAATACCTTGCAATGACTGTGAGGTCAACTACATAGGTCGAACTAGTAGGTCCCGGGGGTAGTCAGATTGTCGGAACATAAGAATTTAGCTAAGGTAAAAATGGTTGACCCTACCCGAGAAGATAAGTAGTTTAGAAAAAAGCCCAGCAATTGCACTGAGTGCATTAACACACAACCACACAAAATGGGTTGGGTGGGACAGAGTTAAAATCCCAAGAAGTAATGTAGATAGGTGGAGAGAGAGATTGATTACTGAATCCTGGTTCATACAGTCTACACCCAACATATGCAACATAAATGACTCAATGCAAATACCAGAGATATAGAAGAAATTATTACCAGTCAAATCAGAGGAGGATAATAAATAATCTTAAAATGTACTTCAATTCACATCATAACATTCTTACAAATTACTTATTTTTATTATAAAAATGTCTTATTTCCCATCTGATTGTATTTTATTGACACTAATTTTATTTCAGAATGTACTCTATCTTATATTGATTTTATTCAAATAACTGGTCAATTTTTACTCATGTATATAAATCAAGTAAGAACGTTATGTGAGTGACTACCCTGATATGATTTTGAACAATAATTTGTGCTCGGAAGGTGGTCATCAGTAAATATTACTGTACAACACAACTCAATAAGGTTCTAACACTAATCAATCAGTAGCGTATTCGGTGAAAATCAACTAATGAGCTATAATTTAGGATCCAGGCGATCCTAATGGTGTCACAGTAGTTGCGTACAGATACACATTTAAGAACAGAAGTTCAACTAACATGGATCTGTTGTTCGATCAGTGAAACCTGACTATTTCAAAGGAAAATAATAATAGTAATTTGCTTTATTCCAAAACAGTACTTGTGACACAGAATGGAATTCTCAGCATTTTACTACAGTATTGCATTCAGTTAGTACATTAACAATAAATAAAATTCTACATAGATTATGGGTAGTCTCAGTTAATTTTGACAACAACATATTGCATGTCGGTAGCGGAGCCAAAACTGAACAGAGTGTTTGAAGGTGTTGGAAAAGTGGATACTAGGATATTTACTGACGTAAGCGGTAACAAAAGGACAAGATATACAGAGTGTGAGAGAACGAAGAAGAATTTTTTTAAATAGAGTTTGTAAGAAAGAAACAAAGCAGCGCACAACAGAAAAAAAAGAGAGAGAGAAAAGGAAAAGAAAGAAAGAAAACGTTGTACCTATAAATGATATGAGTTGGAAAGACAAGATCCAGTTGTTCTACTGATTATTTAATAAGCTATAGGTATCATGCCTAATGCTTTCTTTATCGCACAGAACACGAGCTGAGTAGGGTATGGTTGAGTTTTTGTACTTGCTAGTGTGAGCATATAGTTTTCTATATAGGCTTGTGGTTTTCCCTGATGAGATACAAGGGGAGAGTTGTGAATGAAGAAGGGTGATGTGAGTTAGATAAAGTGGATTTAGCCTGTCGACTAGAATATTAATAAGATGGTTAAGTGGCACGTTGCTTTCCCTTCTGACAACCTTTAACACATTTCAAGAAGCCAGAAGATGAATTCGACTGGGGTAATTATTTCTTGCCAAATATTGATCACCAGTTCGTTTAATATAGTCAAAATCTAATAACCAAATAATTTCACTTCATGCTGAAAATGTCGTCCAGAAAAACAATGAAAGCCTCTCAGTTAAACCACCCAACTCAAAGAAGGCAACCACATAAAAATCGAAGTATTAACTTGAAATTTTCTGTCTAAATCTTCAGCTCATTTCAGCTTATACAAAGGACACCCGTGTATAATTTACAGGTCATTAATTACTTAATCAAGCATCTGTTTTGTATAACTGTCTCAAAATGAAGGTATGGATGGTAGAATGCTCGTCAGCTACGCGCACGTAGTCTGGATTTGATACCCCGCCAACAGACTCCCAAACC